CAGAACAGCAGAGACGAATTATTTGGAGGCTGGAGGTTGATCTGGCCTGGGTTTCCTTGAAGGTCTTGTCTAGTGGCTTTTGCTTTGCTTTGGTCTTGCCATTGGCATCTGAACACAGGCAGTCCTGATCAGTGAGTATCCCATCTTCTTCCTGGGCCATCTGGTTGACCTGGGAACTTAGTTCTTATGGTGAGGGTAATAAGTGCAGGAAAAGATGTACTTATGGTGAAGGTAGAGGAAGGAGGCAGCCCAGCCAGAAACTGGCCTTCATCACTTCTGCCTCATCCTGGTGGCCAGAGAAATTCTGAATTCCAGTGATGGAAAGGACCTGCAAAGTTACTGGGATGTTGGTTAGATGCAGAAAAAGGTATAAATGGGGACTTCAAATGCAAACTTACTAAAGGAATATAGTGGTATTAATGGGCAAGGGTTTTGCAGAAAACTGCATCAGACTAGTGCCACTGGGAAATTCTATCTCAAATTCTCAGAACAAAGTCCGCACAGGGGATGCTTTCTTGACTATCACAGCCCAGCTTCTGTCCATCTCATGGGCAGCTGGAGTCCCTGGAGCTGATTATTCTGACACCAAATGACTTGTAGGAAGTTCTTCTGGACCTTACCATTTTTACTTCCTCTCTTGGATACCAGTTCTACCATGTAGGTTTTTAATTTGGGAGCTATACACATATTTGAGGACAGTCCATGTCCCAGTGCCTCTGGCTTATAATTCCCACGGTAAAGAAATTACAGGCTCATGGGCACAAAGTGGGATGGAACCACGGCACCCCCATAAAGAGGCTGTAGTTCTACTAAGGCATGGGCATGCTTGGCCCTTCCTTTCGTCCCCTCACATCCAGTCCTAGGCTAAGATCTGTGTCCTCATCTCCTGATGTCACAAGCCCAAGTTGCAGTCATCTCTTGCCTGGACCCCTGCAGTCGCCCCCAGCCTGTCCCTTTGCACACTGCAGCTATAGCAACTTTCTATACCAGTGGGCTCTCAGATGAGCCAGGTAAAAATGCTTCAGCCTTGGGCACATCTTGCTACTCGCTGTGTGTCCCAGCCTTGTTCTGGCAATCATCTCCACAACCCCGGCCCCTCCTCATCCTGTTCATCATGCCTCTTGTTTCAGGCTGGGTTTCATCTGTCCTTGCTCAGAGCCTTCCTCCTCTCCTTGACAAGGTTGTGCTACTCAGTGACTCACACTCCCAGGACTGAAGACCTCTCTCTTCTTTGTGGACTCTCCTCGCTTCTCTAACTTCCATTCATTCCTGGGACTGCTGGAATACCATATGCCTCTTCCACTATCCTGGAATGGTGGGCTCCATGCTGCACTACACAGGTGAGCTGCTCTGAAATGTTTGCAGGTTACAGTGGGGTAAATACAGCACAATGACAAATTTTAGACACCAGCTCCCATCCAAGTCCCTGAAAAGGTAATGATTGTCTTTCAAACTAAGGTGAGCTGGCACCATGTAACCCTAGGGCAGGCTTTTTGTGTGGTATTGTGCCTAGGGACCAAAGCCATGTCTTAAAAGTTACAGAAGAAACAAATATTTGGTGAATGGCTGGATGAGCAACAGTGATGTCTGAATGAAGTCTAAATGATGCTTAAATGAGGACTGTAATGGCTGTTTCCAGAAGATGAAAGACTTGGAATGCCTACCCAAGAAAGGACTATGGAAGTCTTAGCATTTTTGTTTCCTGAGCTTTATGTATTTAACAAATATTTTCCCAGCAGCCACAAATTCAAGTGCTTTATAAATATAAATCCACTTAGAGCTCACCATAATTAAAAGGATATGAACAGAAGTCCCATTTTATAGAAGTGGAAACAGGCTCAGAGACTTGAATCATTTGTCAAACACTGGAGCAGGGCTTTGAACACTGGCAGTGTGACTGCAGATCCCATGTGCTTATGCACCAGGCTATGCTGCACTGGGGTCAGCTCCAGAAGTGAACCATGTGTCTCGTGTGTTTCAGCCCCAGTAAATCCACACCAGAGACCCTAAGCTGTGCTCTCTAGGCTACTAGACCTGGGCAAAGATATGATGTAAGGGAAGAATTCCTGAGATGGGCACTGACAGGAGAGAGGGGCTATGGCTCACCTAGAGAGGGATGTTGTAAAAAGATTAAGGCATTTCAGGGGCCACAAAATAACCAAGGAAATGGACCATAAATATTTCTTTACTGCATCCAATTAGTGGATGTGCTTGCTTCAGCAGCATATGTACATAATTAGCAGGAAATTGACCTGGCTACTTTCATAAAAGGAAACATTAAAATTTGAGAGAGGAGTGTGTGTGAGTTCTTAGTATTTGTACAATGTCCTTTCCTGCATATGGTCTCATTTCTCCTTTAAGACCACCTGGAGACAGGAAGATAACCATGCTTGTTTGAGTAAAACCAGGACAGCAAAGTTCAGGGAGGTTGGCAATGGATCTAAGGTCACAGAACCGCCCACCAGCAGAACCAAGCCAGAGTCTCACACCAGATGACCACCAGTCCTGGCCCCTCCCTCTGGTGCAGCGTGTCATCCCAAGCCTGTCTCATAGAATCAGTCTCTCAGAGGGAAGTCAGTGCCTGGCGCTGATGGTGCTGACACAAGCGCCAAGAGAAAACATAATTGGTTTCAAGAGAGGTTTACACAGATTCTAGGCTGGTTAGCCAATATTGTAATAGCAAGATTCAGGAATGTGTGTGTCTCTAACTCTTGATGGAGTCCTTTATTTAACAGGTTAACTCCTCCTTCTTCCTTCCCTTACCATTGTCCTCACCGCTGCAACCAACATTGCAGCTACTGGCTTTTAACCCTCAAATCTACCCTGAGAGAACTAGTGTTAACAACATTTGAGGGATGAGGAGGCTGAAGCAAAGATGTACCAGAGTTCATAACAGATAGAGCTGGCTGTGGAGCCACATCTCACTCTGACCAACTAGCCTGATTTTTTTTTTTTTTTTTTTTTTTTATATTTTTTTTTTTGTCCTGATATTCCCCAGGCAGCCCAGGTGGACGGGAAGTTTGGAGCTGTCAGCCCAAGGCCAGACTTAAAGAGAGGAGGGAAAACCAGAGAAACAGTAGTGGGGGCAGGCAGTGCCCAGAAAACTACAAAATGGGAATTTTCAGGGCAAGAGAAAAGGCTGCAGAAAGGGGCTTAAAGGTCAGGTGGCCTAGCAGGTGGGAGAGAAGGAACCATGGGGTTTGTAAGACAAAGTGGGTTTCAGGGACAGCTCAGGCAGTGTTCCTGGAGAAGTGGTGGGGGTGGTGACAGATTGCAGTGGGCTGCAAGTTGAGTGGGAGGTGAGGATTTTAGCTGGGAGTCGACTGAGACTCCCTCGTCCAAGAACTGACAGTTGGGGAGGGGGCAGTGGAGGAGGACTCCCACAGCGTGAGCCCCCAGGCTCGATGGCCCTAAACAACCCTGTCACTATCATAGTTGCTATTTCCAGCACTGGGATGGACCTAGAGCCTCAACCAGTATGACAGCCCAGCCCAGTAAGACACTTGTAGCCCTTCCTCCATTCCCTTTCCCTCTTCCTTCCCAGCTCCTTCTGGGTCAGCTTACCATAACTGGACCAAACCTGAGACAAACAGCTGAGGAGGACGAAAGCTCTCTTCCGACCCAATGTATGGGTTTCAGTCCACGGTTGCTTGGATCCATCACCTTGGTCTTGGCAAGAACTTCCTTACCCCCTAGTCCTGCCAAGGGCTGCCTGGGGACCCAACTTGTAACTCAGGAGTCTTTGAAGACACTTGTCTATGTCATACCACTTTCTTTTTCTATCTACTTTTTTTTAGAGGGACTGTGGTGGGGGTGGAACCCAAGGCATCATGCCTGCTAGGCAAAAGCTCTACCTCTTGGATATATTCCCAGCCATCCATCTCTAGGTGCTTACTGAGCACATCTTGCAAGGGCTTCTCCGGCTGTTGTGATGCATGGTGACATGTATGTCTTCCTTACAACTAAGTGAGGACACACATATAAGCAAGAAGCACAAGTATATGTGTACATATTGTATAATATTTTTAGGCTGGACATAATGGTGCATGCCTGTAATCCCAGCACTCAAGAGGCAGAGGCAAGAGGATCTCGGGGGTTCTGGTTGAACCTGGGCTACATTGTGAGTTTAAGGCCAGCCTGGACTACAAAGCAGGATTCTCTCTCATATATATCTTTTCCCAAATATTTGTGTGTGTTTGTAGTACATTATGAATGCAGTCAGCGTGGGGTATTGGTAAATGTACACAGCGCATCCTGATCCTTTTTATTTTCCCCATTCTCATATCCCCTTCCTTTCTCCCCAGAGTCTGCTTCCCTGTTTCCTGTTATCTTTTATAATAACGATAATGGCCAACGCTCATGGGGCACTTTTAGTGTACTAAGTACTTTGTAAGCATTTTATTTTAACCTTTCATGTACACACACAAAGCCTCAAGAAACCCAGGAGAAAGACGGCGTTGGGATCAGTACCTTTTACTAATCAGGAAACTGAGGCACACAGAGCTCAGCCGATTGCCCAAAGTCACAGAGCTGAGACAGGTGGGTCGTGAGATTTGGCTTGAACCGACCTGTATCCAGATAACTAGCTCCAAGGCCACACTGTTCTTACCCCCTTTGTTCCCAGCAGCAGCACCGGGATGCACAGGACTTGGCCAGGTGCCCGCGTCCCAGGCGCGCGGCGGGAACGTAGACCCTCAGTCCACGCCTGCTCCCGGCCCTTCAACAGGCTCGGGGAAGTTGGGACGCAGCGCAGGGGCACAGTACCAGGAGCCCCCGCGTCCCGACTGCAGGTGTGGGCCGCCAAGTGCCAGGTGTGCAGCCAGGGTATGAACTGCACAGGCACTAAGCTCTTCCTGGACGAACTGCCCAGGCAGTTCGGACCCCGCGCGCTCCCGACCCGCCCCGCGCCGCCCCCCACGTCCCCGCGCCGTCCCCGTCCCCGGCTCCACCCCCGCCCGCGCCGCCTGAAAAGCCGGGCCGCGGGGCGGCGCGCAGAGCCAGCGAGGAGCAGCGGCCATGACAGCGGAGAAGGCGCTGCCCCTGGGCGACGCGAAGGCGGCAGGGGAGGCGCGGGAGACCCAGGCGCTCGGCGGCGGCGGAGACGCGCGCGGCCGTACACGCGACAAGGCGGTTCACGAGCGCGGCCACTGGAATAACAAGGTGGAGTTCGTGCTGAGCGTGGCCGGCGAGATCATCGGGCTGGGCAACGTGTGGCGCTTCCCCTACCTGTGCTACAAGAACGGTGGAGGTGAGGCGCGAGGGGATGGGGCGCCGCAGGCTGGTGGGGGCGGGGACCCCCGGGACGCGCGACTCCCCCACATCGGGCCACTCTGCCACCTGTTCCGCGCACGCGCGGCTTCACACCTGAGCACAGCTTAGCACCTGAGCACTGCTTCGCACCTGATGACACCTGAGCATGGCACCTGCCAGAGCGGGGACATCCCGCCAGGAGACACGCGGAGATCACAGCAGCCGGTGTCTTGGACAGGAGACGCTTTGCCCTGGGAGCCTCAGCTCTGCCGAATGGCCTTGGGTTTGGAGTGTTTGCTGAAGTGCCAGGCAGTGCACTAAGCTCTTCTTGTGTTGTTTCACTTCGTGCTGCAGTCATCATAGCAGGCAGTACAGACCCATCTCGCAGATGAGGCAACTGAGTGTTAGAGAAGCCCCTTGCCGAGCCAGTGAGAAAGCGGGATGCTGCCCTCAAAAGCCTTGTGTTAATGGGGGCTTGGGCTGACAAGTGGGGAACTGTCAAGTGAGGTGCACTGTTTGCTTTCCTACCTTGTCTTTTCAATCTGCACCTGAGGCCTTTTCTAGGGCTGGACTTTGGGGCCTCTGTGCTGGAAGAATTGGCAGCAAGCATTTTCTTTGACTGGTCTCAGAGGCATCGGCGACAAGTAGCAGCGAGACTTCCCAACTGTAAGGAACGCTGGGAGATTGTGGAAAAGGGAAAGATGATGAGGGTCTTTTCTAGTGCCAACGTCCCAGTTTGTCAGAGGATGCAGTTGTGATCCCCAACTGACTGCCCCAGCTCAGAAAAGGGGCTCCAGGCTTTGAGTCACAGAGCAGGACTGCACAGCCTTCTTCCGGGGCACCACTTCTCCAAGAGAAGCTTGTTTATGTATTGTCATCTCTTTTGGGTACCCCCTGTTCTTTCAGCAGGTGGTCAGCCCCTGAAGAAGGCGGCTCAGAAGTTGGCCGGCAGGGACAGTGCAGGACTTTCTGAGCAGGCCTGGCAGGGGGAGCGAGGACAGGCCCTTTCTCAGAGAGAAATCATCCTGAAGGTGCAGGCTGCTGGAGCCTGCTCTGCACTGGCAGGGAAGTGCGGTCAACGTGGGTGGGCAGGCAGCAGGGGGCACGGACAGAATGGATAGAGACCCCAAGTGTGCTCTCTGTCCTCAGCTGGGAGTCCTGGCCCTGTTGAAGACAGCCTTTACAACCTGTGGTGTGCTCTTGGGAATCAGTGCAGTCCTACAGTGTGTCCCCAGGCAAAAGTTGTCTTCACATCTTTGTTAATCCAGGAAATTGTTATACCAAAACAAAAAGCATTCCTAAAAGTAGACAATAGGGTAAATTGGGCTAATTACAACTCTGCCACAGATTTATTAAAAAGGTGGTAGTGAGCAAAATTTAGAAGTGAGTCACTGTTTTTTTTTTTTTTTTTTTTTTTTTTTTTTCTTATTCCTCTGTAATTTGCCAAGTGTCTCCGTTGGTGCCTAGATATCCAGATTGGTTAGTGTCTTAACGATTCCAGGACTAGTTTTTTGGCTAACATGGACCAGAGGCTTACTGGTATTATCTCTTAGATTTGAGGGTAGTGATCATGAACCTGTTACACCTCTTAGAGCTTCTAATGATAAGAAGCAGCCCACTGAGTCACGCGTGCCATGTGTTTTACACACCTGTTACGGGTTCACCAGTAAATACCAGTGTATTAAAGAACTGCTGAAACTTTTTAACTGATTAGATTAGCTTTAGCAAGCAGATACCTTTATTCTCTTTCACATACTTTTTGCCTTCCAATATAATTGGGCTGTTTTTTTCATTGCCCCCCCTTTAAAATCTCATGACTCTAGTGATAGAGCCCCACAGTAGTTTAAAGTACTCTTTCTTCCCTGTGTGAAACACTAAATTAATCTTTTTCCCAGAAAAAAGCTAAGACCCTTTCAAAAACCTTGCTATCAGGATTGATCAAAATTGTTGCTGTTAATCTTTACAGTTTAAAGAGTTTTCCTTCAGCAAAACAAAGCAATTTTGGTTGAAACCATTTGTGAGATCAGATGGTGGGAAACAGTGTTTTCATGCTTTGTTATTAGACAAGGAAAAGAAAGAGGGATTTGGGGAAAATCCTCTTCTGGTTGCAGTAGTTCATGTTTACCTCAGTTATTTAATTTGTTTTGCAGAAAAACCTAGGCAATGGATATTGTGTTTCAAGTTAGGAGCACTAAAATGTAAGGTGGTCTTTTCACAAACTGATCCTGAGCCAGCCTGGCTGGCTAGATTTTTGAGATGGGGTGACAGGGTCTTGCATCTCAGTGTCACACCTGGGCCTTGTGTGTGTATGGGGAGGGGGGGATTAACTCTTTGAAGCCTGACAGTGCTCTTTGTATGATTCCCAGAGAATGCTTTTCTTTATTAGAAAATCTTACTTTTTGCAGGTTGCTCTCAAAGTAAAAAATAAGAAAGGTCCCTTTTCCCTGGCCTGTTGACATTAAGGTAGAATTGTAAAGAAGGGTGTGACATTCAGAGCATGAATGGCTTGGCTTGTGCTGGAAGATGAAGCACATAAATTCAAGAACTGAGCTTCAATAAGATGCTTTCTTTGACATCATCATCTTAACTGTGCTATAGTTCTGGGAGCTAAGCAGTGTAGGTATTGAGGACGAAAAGCCCCATTTCACAGGTGAAAAAACTGAGGCTCAGTGATGTGAGGTAGACCTACTTAAGAGGATAAAGAGCACAAACCCACGCTGACTCTGGGCCTCCCAGCTGCAGCCTGAGCTCCAGCCCAGACCGCATTCCATCTTGCCTATGGAGGGTGCGTAGTGAAGAGTCTTGTGCTGAACACAAAATGCTGATGGCCAGTTTCATCTTATTCCTTTACATGCTTCCAGGAGCATTCCTGATTCCCTACGTGGTGTTTTTTATTTGCTGTGGCATTCCTGTTTTTTTCCTGGAAACAGCTTTGGGGCAATTCACAAGTGAAGGTGGCATTACATGTTGGAGGAAAGTCTGCCCTTTATTTGAAGGTAAGTATTTCTTTAATTAGAAAATAAAATTTTGCCCTATAGTGTGAAGCTACAAAGAGCTGAGGCTGTTTTACAAACGTAGAGACTCAAATTTCTCCCTCTCCTTTGTCCTTTTAGGCATTGGCTATGCTACGCAGGTGATTGAGGCCCATCTGAACGTGTACTACATCATCATCCTGGCCTGGGCCATCTTTTACCTGAGCAACTGCTTTACCACTGAGCTTCCCTGGGCCACCTGTGGGCATGAATGGAACACAGGTATGGCCCCCAAGGAGGGTCTCTCCACTGGTCCTGCTGGGGAACCTGGGACTGGGGGTGCATCGTTGGCCTCTGGGCTCTAATCAGGAGTTTAGTTTGCAGGAAGTAGTCTCACTAAAACTGGGGGCTCAGTTGTGTAGCCAGAGTGGGTTTCTGTGAGTCACAGCTGGAGCTAAACATTGGTCCAGGGATTGGCATGGTAGGGAGAGTGAGGGTATGCTGGGCCCTCTGGGGAGTGGCAGTGGCAGTGGAGGGACCTGCCTCTTCAAGTGGCAGGTTTCCTCTGTGAAAGAGGAGATTAGACTAGATTAAGGACTGCAGACTGTGGTCAGTCCCTGAAGAAGGTGGCTTTTGGGCAGATCCATCCCAAATAAATGATGAACAGCAAGTTGAAGAATGCATTGGATTTGCGCTTCATGTAAAAATTCCAGATTTCATGTGGAAATACAGATTCATAGCTTCTCTTCAAAAATTAGACCTTGCAACATTCTTTCTTGGAAGCAATGGCTTCAGCTGAGAGGCAGCTCTTCCTTTAGGTGACACATCTGTCCCGAGTTGTTACTATCTTCATCCAAATTATCTTCTTCATTTGCCTTACCTGCTCAATCCAGCTAGACAGTTGAATTCAATGTGCCTGACCTAGGAATGCAATAATTTTTGAGATTAGTTTTGTTTCCTTCTAGATATACTATTTGCTTTTCAACTTGTCATCCTATTGGGATTGAGTTTTATAATCTGGGGAGGGAGACTACCTGTGCAGCCCATTTCTCAAGTTTCTCCTTGAATTAGCAGTTTTGTTTTGTTTTTGTTTTTTTTTGAGAACCAAGGATTGAACTCAGGCCCTTGCGCTTGCAAGACAAGCTCTTATTCTTTGTTTTTGTTTTTTTGCGGGACCAGGGATTGAACCCTGGCCCTTGTGCTTGTCAGGGAAGCTCTTATTCCACTGATCCATCTCCCTATCCCCTACAAGCTCTTATTCTACTAAGCCATCTCCCTGGCCCCATGTGCAGCCCATTTTTGAAAAGGCTGTGTTCCCAGAAAACACTACTAATCGATTGCTGCACACCTCAGGTCTTTGCCTGGGAGTGCTTCTCGGTTATTATATTCCAGATATCTGCTCCCTTTTGACCTGTGAGCTGAATTGGGTTGTATGCTTTAACTTTCTCACTACTCATGTCAGAATCTGGGGTTAGACTGTGCCTGCAAGTAGCCTCTCGTCCTGAGGGCTGTGATCCAGGGAAAGTGGTGGGGTGTTGGCCACCAGCAGAAGGAACAGCAGGCACCAGACCTAGACAGTGCTGTGACTGAGCTTCTAGCCCATGTGACTTTGCCCTGCTTCCCTCTCAGTCACCTTGCATGGCAGCCTTGCTCTCTCCAGAGCCCTGGTTCTTACACTTCCTTTGGCAAGGGGCTTCACAGAGGGGCTACCCAACTGAGATTCAAGGTTGTACTCTTGGAAGTGTGCAAGTCCTCTATGCTAATTTAATTGTGCATTTTTTTAATTTTTTTTTTTTTTTTTTTTTTTTTCGGAACCAGGGATTGAACTCAGGCCCTTGAGCTTGCCATGGAAGTGCTTATTCCACTGAGCTATCTCCCCAGCCAATTGCGTATTTTGAGGGTTCTCTAAAAATAGGTGCACATTCTTGACCTTTGGCAAAGCCTCTTTGTAGCCAAGGATGGTCAGGAGACTATGCTTCTTCAGTTTGTGTTTATGGTTTAACATGAATTTGACAACAAAATGATAATGGTCAAGGGAAAGAAAGCACAGAAATTTAATTCATAAAAGGTGCGTTAAAGGGACGAGGACTGTGCCTCAGTGGTGACTCACTTGCTTAGCATGTGTCAGGCCCTGGGTTTCATCTCTAGCACTGCAGAAATGTTACTAAAATTTTGAAAATATTAGGTGCAGGGGCCGGGAGTTCGATCCGCAGGCCTGCTGCGCTGGCCCTGCCCTCAGGGTGCACTGAGACAGGGATTAAGGCTGGGCGTGGTGGGTGCACCTATAATCCCAGCTCGTGGAAGGCTGTAAACAGGAGGATCACTATGAGTCCAATCTATGTAGTGAGACCCAGTACACCCTGTACACCCTGTCCTAAAATACAAAAAATAAAATAAAATTTTAAAAATAAAAGAAAAAGAAATGGTGTGCTGAGACTAAAAGAAGTGCAGGTGAGAACACATAAACTGTGGGGAGTGCAGGTTTCACACAGTGAGGCCGGCAGAAGCTGGCCACAGACTCGAGTCTGGAGCTGCCATTGGAAGAATGAAGGCCCGTAGACCTGCCTCTTCTCTGTCAGCTCCACTTATCTGTTGGGAAAGCAATTCGATTTCACTAAGTGGCATTACCCTACATATCCATGTCATGTTATTGAATTGTGACTCTGAATTGTGTTGGCTGGTAGTGGTTGGTATTTAACTTATAAATTTAATTTTGCTTTTCTAGTTGTATGAATTACATATTCACAAAGACTTCATAGCCCACTGTATATTTGTAAATGATTAAATATTTTAATAAAAATAACTGGTCAACATTGGGTGTCTGATAAATTTTTTTACTTGAGGAAAAAAATTAAAAACACCATGTGAGAAAATCTGATACAAACTAAGGGTTCCTTTCAACCAGAAGAAAGCCCAGAACATAGCATCCCTTTTGTGTACAATTTTAGTTTTCTAGATTCCTCTTAAGATGTAACTGGACCCTGAGACCAGCTCCTCTCAGAACTTGGCATTTGCTAGAAGGAGCAGGAAGCAAGTAGACAATGGCATTGTTCACACAGTGGCCTACACATCCTCCATCCACTGTTTGTAGCCATTCCTCTAACGCAGTGGTGGTGAACCTGTGACACGTGTGCCACAGCAGGCTGTTGGTATCATTGAAAGCTCTTAAAGGTTCACCATCACTGCTTTAAAGGCACTCAAATGCCTATGGTGTGTGAAACATCACCTGCAGGAGCACGTTCCTATCTCTAGAGATGGCAGGTGCAACCCGAAGGACGTGGGCATGTGTGAGTGCTTGAGAAGAGAGAAGTGGGTGGCCGGGGCCTTGGCTCTGCACTGGCCACTGCTGGCTCTCAGGGCCCATGCGAGTGCAGGCATGGGTGCCTCAAAGCCCCAGGAAGCTCAGTAGATAGGGAGCATAGGCCTTGTAGGGACCGACATCACCAGGCACTAGACACAGCAAAGGAAAGGGAACCCAGCAGGAGTTGGTGCTCAGTTCTGTATTCAACAGAACTGGCTAACTGCCCATTTTATGGAAGAGGGAGATGGTGCAGGTGTGTGTGTGGGGGGGGGTCTCTGTTTTTGAACCTTGGATTCTTTCTTTTCAAATTAAGGCATTAGAGAAGGTGATTTTGGGGGGGTGCTCTGAGCTCTGCCTTGCTTAGAATTCAGGGAACAGAGATCAGGGAGGGCTTCCTGGAGATGGATAAGGGGTGAATGGGTTTCTCCAGGCCTTGGTGAATGAGCAGTAGGATATTTTCACATGAGATTCTCTTCCTCACCAAGTTTCTGAGAAAGCTGTTCAGTAAATCCTTTCTGGTCAATTGGATTGAGTGAGGTAACAATGAAGAAACCAAGAGTTCCTTATGCATGTAGGTTTGTGGTGTCTCACCGATCTTCATATCTTTAAGAGCAACTACAACGTTAGCTCCCTTTTAATGAAAGGTGAAGTTTCAGGTGTGTTTCTGCCCTGGTGGCACCATGATTAACTCATTCCTTTAGTCCCTCTAGTTCAGCCAGGGCCATTGGGCAGGAAAGACTTGGGCAGAGAGCGGAAGAAAGAAAAGCAGATCTGGGGACAAGGCTGGAGGACAGGGTATGATAGGACGTAGAGGTTGGGCACAGAGTCCCTGCCCTTCCCAACCCTCCTCCCATTCTGTTCATCCTAAGCGTCACTATTTATTTTACCAGTACATCTTTTGAACCCTTGTTTGCTCAGTGGCCAGGTAAAGCTGCCTGGTTACATCATCAGCTCTGAATGTTTTCCCAGAGTCAGCCCTCGTCAAGGTTAATTGTCTTGCATGTCTTCTCTTGTTTCCACTGTAGAGAAATGTGTGGAGTTCCAGAAGCTGAACGTGAGCAACTACAGCCATGTGTCCCTGCAGAACGCCACTTCCCCCGTCATGGAGTTTTGGGAGTAAGTGGAGGAGCCCTTGTCTCCCGGGGCTGTGGGGGCTGCGTGCTGGTCCTGCCCTACTGACCTGGCCCATCTCTGGACAAAGCAGGCTCATCCTGCAGCCAGACACTTCTGGTTCTCTAGGCATTTCCCTGCCCTAGAAGGCTGAGTGGAGATCTTCTGGGCTTCCCAGAGGAACAGCTGAGAGAAATGCTCTTAGTGTGCTTCATTGTGTATTAGGGCAGGAAGTGCTTGATAAAACATTAGACAGTTTAAAAATTCATTTAGAACAGAAGAGAAGTTGTAGCATGTTTGCAGTAAGTGAAGTGAAGAATATATTCAACCTGGAAGGCAGAAGTCTCCTGGGGGTTTAGCTTAACTCCTTCTGATAGCTGCAAAGAAGTGGATGTGCTTTAACGAGTGGCAGTCACAAAGAGGCAGATTTCTGATGTGCCTAAGGAAGACACTGGCCTTAAAGCATTGGCTGAATACAGTACTTCAGAAGCTTGTGAGCACCCACACTGGAAGGGGTGGGCTTGTGCAGGGCTGCTGGTCTTGTTGGGAACCTGTTAGAAGCTCTTGAAATTATAAACAATAGTCATATGGGTGGGAATTTTCCCAGAAATGGGCATAGTCTTACCAGAGTTCCATAGGATTGTGACTCTGTTGGGGCTGATGCACACAGCTGTAGAAGTTGTGCACTGCGGAATCCAAGGGGACATCCTTTAGGCTGTGGAATGTGTGCTTCAGAACTGTATAGTGCACCACATGTGTAGGAGCATGAAGTGGCCCTGACTTCAAAGCTTCTGAAATAGAAATAGGATCATGTGTCGCTGCAGGTACTGAAGACACATTTCCTGCATGAGTCAAAGGCTGGATTTCTGAGGCTTTTCACTCTGCAGAAGGTGGCTTCATGAAGAAGCCTCTCCTCTCCTGGTGCTAACTAATAACTGCCTATGTGAAGGGAGAGGTTTTGTCCCTCTCTAGAAATGATTATGCCGAATTTAGATTTGTCATTCACATGCACATCTTTATCCTTGTGCCTGTATGTACAGACCTTAGATAATACCAGGGCATATAGATCTTTCAGTTATATTTCATGGTATCCATTACTTGCATTATTATATGTCTTAAAATTTCATGTTAATGATACCCATTACTTACATGTGTACAAAGCTTTGTTTATTTGTTCAGTATTGGTTTTGAGATGTACCATACATGTGAGGATACATATAGCTTTAGCTCTCTCTCTCCCCAACCCTGTGCATGGTATGTTGAGGCACGAACAACTTCCCCTGTGTTTATCCACCTCCCCATTGATGAGCTTTTGTCTTCTGTCCATGGTCATTATTAAGCACCCTGAGTGAATGAATGTCTCGCACTTGCTTGAGTACACGAGTGAAGGTTTCTAGGCTTTATTCCTATTGTAGGGTGATTTATACAGCTAGAACAGAAAGCTTAACCCTGGGCAACTGATAAAGAGCAAATGCATTCCTTGTAGTTCTGGTGATTGGCAAGTGCAAGGTGGGAGGGGGGGTGTTGGTGTCATCCCATGGAAGAAAGCAGAAGAGCAAAAGATCACACCCACTCAAGAGCAAGAGGTCAAAATGTCCCTCAGAGTATGAGTCCACTTACCTGATAATGATGTACATCCACTTATGTATTAAGGAGCCTTGTTGCGTTGTTTACCTCTTAACAGTGCCACCTTTCAAGCCGTCCATTAGGGACTCAGTTTCTATTGCATGAACTGTAGAGGACACATTCAAACCATAGCAGCATCAGAGAATGGCAGTGCGGGGCCACATAGTACACACCCTGTCCCTTTTATCAGATAATGCAAAGGGATTTGTGAACATAAGTGCATGAGACTTTCTACTGCACCACATTCCATTTAGCACTTGGTCTGGTTGGTTTTTATTTTGCTAGTATAATGGGGGTGAGATGGTGTTTCCACTATTTCGATTTGCATGTCTCTAGTTACTTGAGGTTGAGCATTTTTGGATGTTTGCTCTGCTGTTTGATAGTCTCATGTGTGAACTTCAGGTTCGTGTCCTGCTCTATTTGGGTTGCTTGTCTTTCACAGATGGAAATTCTTGATCCATCCTAGATTATTGGCAGCGCTATAAATGTCTTTCCCCAGTGTGTGGCGTTTCTTTCTTATTTATTTATGGTGTATGGAATTTGTAATTTTACTGAAGTCACACTTGTCAATCTCTTTGGTTTGCACAGTTGGTGTCTTATTAAAGATACATTTCTGTACTCCACAGTTGTAAAAAAAATCTTATAGTTTCTTCTAAGAATTTTAAATTTTTTTTCACATTTAAGAATATAATCTCTAGAATTTTATTTTTATATTATATAGGGTGCAAATCTAATTTTATTGCCAGGTGTGAAGACACATGCCTGTAATTCAGTGCTCAGCAGGCTGAGGCAGGAAGATCACTTCAAGTTCAAGGTCAGCCTCATTAACATAGTAAGTTCAAGGCCAGTCTGAACTATATTGTGAGACCCTGTCTCAAAGAATAAACTAAAAAAAAAAAAACTAAAAAAAAAAACTCATCATTTATTGAAATAGCAAAATTCTCAGGCAGTATATCCTTTCTAAATTGATTTGCAATGCTATATTATATAGAATATGATTTTTCTAGTGGCACATGTCTAGTTTTTATACTCTCTCTCTGCATCATGGGTGTCTATCTCTGTGTCCGTATTACTTCTATAGTTTTATTATAAGCTGTAAGCTAGAAAGGCACATCCTTTACTTTTATTCTTTTCTGAAATTATCTTGGTGTTCCACATAATTATAGAGTCAACTTATTAGTTTATACAGTGACGACAACAACCACCTCCATAGGAGTAAAACAGTTCCGAGGATTTTGACTGGAAGGCTACTGAAATTTTAGCCTAATCTGAAGAGAAGTGACATCATGGTTGTGCCTCTCTGTCCATGAAGATGGTATAGCTGGCCTTCTGTTTATTTGGGTATCTTGGTTACTTTTATCTCTGAATAAATTACTGAATCAAAATACCTGACACCCAAAGTTAAGGATGGAAAGGTTTATTTAGTTCACAGTTTGTGGGGTTTCCATCCATACTCAGCTGGTGGCAAGGCCGAGTGGCGTGGCACAGTGGCAACAGTTCAAGGTGGGAGAAGACAACAAAAGTAATAAGAGCAAAAGGGGGGAAACAGGCCTCTGTTCCTTCCTTATGTTGCATGCCCACTATCCATCCACACCATCTCCCTGACTTCCTCTTCCACAAGCTCAGGATGCTTACAAAGTGAGGAGCCTGGCCCCCTGCTGAACCACTTAGTTAAGCCTCTAAACCTCTCAGTTCTCAAATTGGTGCAATGTATCAGCCTATACATTGGGTCTTTTCAAATGCCTTACAAAGGTATTACTTTGTAAAGCAAATGAAGTTGTTTTACTGTGGTCTGCGTAGCAGCAGTGTTGGGATCACCTGGTGTTGGTTGTCTACCTTAGACCTGGTGAATCACAGACGCAGTGTGAGCATCTGTAATATATGTTCAAGGCAGGAGGCTCCTGTGTGGTTCTTCCCAACTCCATTGGCTATGGTTTGCTGGAGAGATGTCACCGAGACTTGTTTGGAACCTGTACATTTAAAGGTCTGCAAAATATGGTTTCTGTGCTTTTCTTAGGGAGTTAGTCCTAAGACACTAGACTGGACATGGTCTCTGAGCAAGCTCACGGCATCTTGCACCATTTGTTCCCCGGGTAACACACATGGAACACTCCAGACCATTGTTTGTGGCGTGTGTTTGTTCATTATCTGTACTCCCCAGTGAGCAGTCTTGAGGCAGCATCAATCTGGTTGTGCTCACTGCCATCGGGCTTTGAAATGCCCTCAGTGAATGTGTAGAAGATGAATGGATCTAAGATATATATCAACGGGTAAGGAAGAAAGCAGGCGGATGATATGTTGTAGCAAAATACTGTAAGAGAACAATCACCAGGGTTCTAGCAAGACTCATGCTGTTGGGAAGGTTCCCATTGATTACATCTGGGATCCCTTGGTAGTATCCACATCACCCACTCATTTGGACCCCAGGTGGCTGGAAGGGACAGCTTGTCTGCATCCTCCTGTGTAGGGATCTTTGCCAGCTCCCTGGTCATGCCACATGATTGTGCATGGGAGGATGAGCCCAGGATCTGGTTTTCTATAAAGATTGCATCTCTGTTATTCCCAAACTTGTTTTTCTTTGTTCCCCTCCCCAGCCATTGCCCACAAGTATTCCTCTCACACAGCCTGGAGAATACATGGCTGGGGAGGAGGAGCTTCTTCCCTAAATCCAGCTGAAAGTTGACTTCTGGGGCTTTGCATAGAGCATACCTGTTTCTTTTTTCCTGGGACAGCTCTTGTGGTATTGGATCAGTTCCGTGAAAAATGTTTCTTCCCCAGTTGGTGAAAGCTGTCTTTGCTATTTCCTTGCATAGTGGTTCCCCACTTCTGTTCATGTCTTTATTGTGTTGTCTTCACAGTGCCCCCAGCTCCAAGTTCTCACTGCTTGGTCAGAGCAGAGGCCTTAGTTGTCTGCTAGATCATCCATTTGACAAATGTCTACACTCCTGGTGCACACAAGAAAATCAGGGCACATCCAGAGAGGCAGAGGTGAAAGATGACATTCTTGTCTCTAGGAGCAGAAGTGGGAGGAGCCCATCGATGCCATAAAATCACTGACAGGGCATTTCTTCCTTGCCTGCAGCTCACCATGGCTTCACCTTGCCACTGGCCCCTGTCCAAACCACCTCTCATCTCAAAATTTTGTTTTCCTTTTCAGGATTACTGGTTAATGAGAAAAAGCGTAGGCCCTGGATCCATGCTGAATTCTAGCTCTGGCAAGGGACCTAGGGGCAGCTTGTCTTCCTAATGTAGGATGGCAAAATCAGGCCATCTTGGTTTCCCTTAGTAACCCATTATGCACTTATCTAAATACAGTATGTCTGCAGTTCTGGATCCTGAGCCTGCAGCCTTGGGTGGGATCAAGCCCTAGTAAGTGTATAATGAATGTTAGGACAGTGGATGGACCTCGATTTGCCTTCATGGCCCCCTCCTCGGCCTGCCTCTATCTCTTATAATCCAGGATTTTGTAAGCAAATCTATACTCACCACATGTACAATCAAAATTGCTTTTGCTCAGTGTCAATTCAAGGAACATGTGTTGAGCACATATTGTGAGCTGGGCCTGAATTAAGCTCTCTGGGGATTCACTTTTGTTTTTATTCAGAAATGTGAGGACTGTCTTTATCAGAGTAATTTTTCTTTTTCTTTATTTTTAATTTAATTTATTTTTTTTTCTAGGAATGTTTCAATTAATTTTATTGAGAAACAAATAGCAATGAGACAGTTTCAAAACCAATTAGTAGGACAGTTTCAGTAATACATGGCGTATTGTTGTCTTTGTAACAGTTATTCATAGTACAAGATGCAGACATGATATCCTGTCCAAACACTATTAGTACAATCTTTCTTCTCATTGAATTAAGAGAAAGTAGCTGTATAGCTCTCCTAACTATTTTGTATATACAGATATATAGATAGATAGATAGATAGATAGACTACAAAATGGTCCTTCATTTATATCCCCCTTTTTTGTTTAGTTTTGTCAGAGGTGGGTATTCATTCCATTGCCATTTAAATATTGTAGGTGCATGAATGCAGCAAAATAATCCAATATAGTCCAATAGTCCATAATAGTAGTAGGTTATCCACAGGAATTCATTTTCTTCAGATACAGACTTAGAAATCAGAGTTGTTGGGGTTCTTTCTTGGTTGTTTGGTTCTTTCTGTGGGACTGAGTATCTCCTGGCCTCTGTCCCGGACTTGTCTTTCCCACCATCTATTATTCCTCCTTGCTGAGTTCCTTCCTGACTTTGAATGTCCTGGGCTTGATCCAGGGTCCATTTCTTGAAGAGTCCTTAACAGATCTTGGTGTGTATGGCTCCTCGTTATCACTGACTCTCAGTTCAGCTGTCATGTGAGAATGTTGCTCTGGCCAGGCTGGCAGGATCAGCACCCAGTCAAATGCCATCTATTACTCTGTTTCAATGTCTGCATAGTTCTTGTCCAAAATCCTTATATCTTGATTGACTTGTTGATTCTCACTCTTCTGATATTATAATTTTAGCTCCACATGGGCATTGATTGTGTCTGTTTTACTAGTTATTGTTTTGTCAGCCCATTCGGGGTGCCCAGTGAATATTTGCTGACATGAATTCATGGAAGAGTGAATAAATGGATTTTTCATAACCCCCACGAGTCCAGTGTTCTCCGTAAATTGCACACAAGGTAACACTCTCTTGAGGGGAATGATGATGCTAATACCTCCTCTGAGCCCAGTTCTTTGGAAAAGTCTGAAGTCATTAATAGAATGAAGATTGTGTCAGGCAGCTGTCCATCAGTGTGACAAACTGCCTGAGATAAACAACTTAAGGGACAAAAGGTTTATTTTGCTCACAGCTTCAGAGGTCTCCATGCATGGTGGCATGGCCTGTGGTAGCACAGGACATTATGGTGGAAGCATTTAATGAAAGAAGCACAGACAGGAGGATAAGGTCTCAGTATACCCCCTATGGAGAGCCTGCTGTGGCCTCATTATGGTCCAAAGAAGTCCACATTTGTAATCCCTGGGAAAAGTTGTTGGAATTCCACTAAGTAATTCTCATCCATCACTTCCTTGTGCAACCCATGGTGAAAATAAAGAGACAAACACACATTTGTAGTTGTGGGGAGTCAAGGGGGTCTAAGTCCAGTTAGAACAATGGCTAAACAGAACAAAGGCTGCCATCCAGGGACAAACCTGGATTTTATCAGTTTGTGAAGAGGGGAGTGGCTCCGGGTTGCGTGACCATGAGAATGATAGAAGTATGCTCATACTGTGAGCTGGGCTAGGTAGGAGGCAATATGTGGGAGAGGTACACAGGAACAGTGCCGGGTTCTGATTACAGGTAGCCTCTAAGTCTCCATAATGCAGTTGGAGGAAGTATCTTGTGGTTTTGGTTGGTGTCTCAGCTTTGATATCTGTCTTTCATATCCTGAGACATCCGGGGCTCTTTCTCAAGCCTTAGTCTCAGCCAACAGAGCAGTAGCACTCAGCCAATCTCATGCTAGGTAGTTAAGAGCTACAGGCAGGGCTTCACTGACCTGTCACGTTGCTTCAAAGGCTTCACATCAGTGCCCTGGCTAGACCCATCTGCACTGCTGAAAGGCAACTGAGGGGTAAAATCCTAGCCAACTCTGTACATATCAATACATGGAATTAGGACCAGGTTTAGCCAACATGGAAAAAAATGGTCTTTTTTAAGGAGAGCAGTCAGGGTGGTCCTCCATATCCTCTAGGCCACACCCCATGTTCTTCCTCTTACCAGGCCCTGTCTCTTAAAGGTTCCACCACTCCCTACCACAGGCTGACCCAGCCTTTAGCCTATGGGGCTCTGGGGAACATTTCAGATCTAACTTCTACCATAAAGCAGCCCTATTTCCTACCTCACCAGCCCCTCCTATATTCCATGAGGTTATAGATCACACTTTCTGAGCACTTTAATAGGCTATACCCACTAGGTGTGAGAGTTAGAACCTGTCACTTGAGCCACTGTGTCCTGGCCCCATCCTACCTATGGGTACACATTCCTGGATGGGCCTGAGCTGCCCAGGGAGTGTGGTGCCAGATTGCTCACCTGAGGAAGATTTGTGCCTCCAACTACAGAATCTGAAGAGCCTCTAGACTTCGCCTGAGGTCTAAACTGCACCCTGCATGGCACCATCTACTGTGCTAGTTTAGGTTACCCCAGAGCCTATCACCCTGCATGGGATCAAGGTGTGGATTTGAGGGTGCAGATTCTAGAGCCCTGTTGAGGCTATGGCCTTTCTCCTGCTGAGTACATGCTCACAGGTGGCATGGGAAGCCCCTTGGGGCCTGTGTGTGCTCTCTCAAGAAGGGGTGGTAGGGGACCCACCTCCCTGGGTTGTCAAGAGCATGTTCACACAGCATGTGATGATATGCGTGCTCAGTAGACAGTGGCTGTTCTTGTAAGGAGGACTTTATCCTGACCTTTTAGTCTGGGTTCAGAGTAGCCCTTAGAGAAGGTCCATCTACCAGGTTTGGTAGGTCCGGTCAGCCAACAAGATGATCTCTTTCAGCAAGTTTTCTTCACCTGATTAATCTCCAACATTGCCATGAGGTTACAGAGTCACTTGGTGTTGGGCACCCCATCTGCTGCGAAAGAGATGAAGAGGACACTGTCCCTCCCTGGCAAAACACGCAGGTAGGGAAAAAAACTAGAGGCTGGGAAGTGGCGGTGGGGAAGAATAGTTTTTGAAATACAGGAAACCTGGAATCCACAGGATGCTTGTATGGAGGCAAGATGATGAAGGCTGGATGCCTGGCCTTGGGGCAAAACTTCACAGAGATGGTGATGCTTCAGATGGACTTTGAAGAGTGAGTAGAAGTTCATCAGATTGGCTATGGAATATGTGAATAGTGTATGAGATGGAGGGAGTCCCAGGGGCAGGAGAAGAGACTGGAGTTGTATGTTGATGTTTGTTGTATTTAGCTACAGTGCCACTGCATCTGGAGGTGAGGAATGGGGGAGGACTTGTATGAAAAGGGAGGCATGGCCAGAATATCTGTGTGAATTACAGCATGGTTTTAGCTACCTGCAGTCAACTGTGGTAGAGAACATTAATTGAAAAGTTCTAGAAATAATATGATTTTTTTTGCCATATTGGGGATTGAACCCAAGACCTCATGTATACTAGACAAGTGCTCTACCACTGAGCTACATTTCTAGCCCTTTTGGTTTCTGAAAAATTTTGAAGCAGATAGGATCTCTCTAAGTTTCACACACTGGCCTTGCATGTGCAAACCTCCTTGTTCAGCCTCTGGAGTAGCTGGAATTACAGAGGCGTGATACCACACATGGCTCAGTTCATATTTTTTAAGTTGCATGCTATTCTGAGTAGTGAGATGAAATCTGTTAACATGTTTCTACATCTCACCAGGATGTGAAATGTCCCTTTGTCTAGCGCACCAATGCTGTATATGTATGTAGGTTACATATCTTGGTTGTTATCCTGGTTTTCAGATCAACTGTGGAGGCATCACAGTGCTGATAGTCAAATGCCCCTTATTTAATAATGACCCACGGCAAGGGTTAGAATGCTGGAAATTAAGATATACAATACCAAAGAGAAGTGATGAGGTCTTAAATTGAAAAGGTGAAATTTATTTTTTTTTCTTTTTTGGCTAAATTTATTTCATTTTTATTTTTATTTTTTTGACATCAGTTATTTTTATTTTAAAGAAAAAAAAATCAATGGTACAACATCTCAAAACAAGATTTTAGGAGAGTAACAATGGTTAGTACATTGTGTATTGTTACTGCCAAAGTAGTTTCTCATATTACAAGATATAGGCAAGAAATAATAAATAAACAACATAGGTACAAACCTCT